TCAAGCCACGCAACCTCTTCAAGAACTGCTTTGACTTGCCGAAGCTTCTCAGCATGTTCAAGATCCTCTGCATCACTATCACTTTCACGACCTGGTCTAAAGATAAAAAAGGAAGACCATAAGGTTCTTACCAGATTTCAACTGTAAGCACTATTTGCAGCAGCAGAAAATGAAGCAAATAAATGAGTTCGAGGTTCTACCTTGTACGGGGAACTAGCATTCTTGTGGCATCTAATAGATCTTGCAACTGGACGGCACTTTTAAGTTTGGTCTGCAGAAGGGGAGAAATCGACACAGTGTAAGCAAATTAATAAAGGCAGGATGAAGTTGATAATAGAAAGGATTGAGCTTCTCACCTCAGCTCTTGGCTTTCCACCATTGTACTTCAACATTAGGTTTAATAGTTTTTCCTCTGTAACTTTTAGTTTCACCTTCTGTTTGGGAGTTCTATCGCCACTATCATGTAAAACAAAGTTTAACACTTCTCAGATTCTCACTGAACAGAGAGAAATATAGAATGGGTAGGTGATTGTATGGTAGAACATACTGTCGAATAACAGCAATGACACAACGTAGCTCTTCTGACTGTCCAAAAGTACCGATGATGCCACTTCCCTGGCGAGTTAGTCCTTCATTAGTCTGTACAGGTTCATTGACCTTCCATGGCAAAGTGGGAGGAAGAGTGGATGAAAGATGAGGAGCCTTTGCATCCAAACACATTTTCCTTAGCACACAAGCAGCATCATCGTAATACCTTACAGTACAAGAGGTTAGTGAGTACTTAAAAGTTGAAAAGCACCTTTTGAGAGTTTAAGTTAAGAGGAAACAACATGGCAGTCTAAAAACCATCACAGTGTTCCACGTTGAACACAGAAATCAAGAACGAAGCTAATTGTTTTCGCTTATGCAGGCACAGAAGATAAGACAAACTTGAATGTTAGGCATAAATCATTGGCCACACTACGTCTTCCCTGTGCATATTGCCAAAATAATACATTTGTGTTGATAAGAAAGGCTGCTAAAGATCTCTAGGGATGTGATTCATAAACTAGAAGATGGGGGCGGCTACAAGCTTATTCTAGTAACTGACTGTAACCTTGGCATTACCCTACCAAGACCTAAGATCGAAACAAAGGAAATAAACTGCAGAATGCTAGCTTACTTGTAAGAGTTTTTCACAAAACTCCATCCATTTACATCACAAACATATGAACAGCCCTCAGATCGTAGAAGATCAAACCCGCAGACCTGGAAATGTGAAAAAATATTGAAATTAGCTTGCCATTGACAAAACCAGAAAATACCATTATAAGGGAGTACAAGTCTGCAAGACATAACGAGAGCCAGAGGATTGGATTCACAACATACCGCTTGCCTAAATGCAAGGCAAACTTCTCTAGCCATTTGCTTTTCAGCAGGTGTAAGCAATACTGGATATCTCACCTGCTCAATAAAAAACCAAAAAAATTACTGATAAAAATCTAAACATTAGCAATTCGTGCTTTCATTATAATCAGCAGACTTTGATATTCTATTCAAATTATAGCCCTTTCTCCATGAAAAAATGAGTTACATCAGATTTAATAAATGGAACTGTTAGGTAATGATTGGCATACGTACTTCCTTCCCATCTACATTCCTCATAACAACACCATCAACAACAGGCGACTTTCTTGCTTCAGCATGCGCGTATTCAGGACCCACTGTGTAGACCTGTGTTTACCAGGTAGTTTGTCAGTTGAGAACTCAAGAAAGCCAAGATTGACGCAGAACAGAACGTTGTCCAGACAAAAAACCAACCAGCAATATGAGCAACATGAGCTGGTGGAAAGTCATGCATCATGTATATACTATAACAGATGGACCAGCAGAAAAATATAGGACATGAACATGGCAACCTTCTACATTGAGGACACTTGATACCAACAACAGTCCAATAATATTCCCCGAAAGGTTAAGTGGTCCAAAAGATGGGAGTGAAAATGAGCTCGTCAAGAAACAACTAGATGGGAAACGATAACAACCTTGACATCAGTTCCTCCAGTGGCCATAAACTCCTCATATATATAAGAACCCTCTCTTCTTACTCTTCTGACGTCAGGATGAAATTCACTTGATCGGTTCCCAATCTGAAGTAAAATGGGGAGAAACGAAAATACATTAGGCCGAAAAGGAGTTAATCAGAGGAATGTGCCACAAATCATTACACAAAATTAGAATAAACAATTCGATCTACAGCAGAGATGTTCTGCAGAACGTTGCAGTACCTTGCGAAATAATTCCTTCATGCCTCCACCTGCCGAGCTAGGGTAGTAAATCATTATACTATGGTCATCTCCTTTAAACACATAAAGAATGCAAACGTTAGGAGATAATAACACTTCTATAATTATGTTTCAAGTTTAGACTTGAGCTTATGGATGGATAGAGCAATAGGCAAAAAGATAAGCTCACCATTGACAGGCTTTTCCACAAATGGCTTCCAGAAGCGTTCACCATTAACCTCAACAAAATCTTCTTCCTCGACAAAATAGTCAAGGTCTTGATTTGGTACTGTTCTATTGACACAAGCATACCTAGGAACTGGGATGCCATACATCTCAAGATGCTGTAGATGCACACAAATAATTATTTTTCTTAGTAAAAGGAATTCATTAACAATGAAGACTTTAATGAATTATCTAAAGTGCACAGAACCAACTATCTTGCAGTCTAATATGCATACCTCATAGACCTTCCGGCGATCATGAAGAAGATACTGAGGATCCAGTTCATTCACTAAAAATGGCCTGAATAACAGAAGTTCGAAACATTAACCTCAGAAGCCAAACTCGTTAATTTTTCACCAAAAATAAATTAAAGTGAGTTGGGTAGGCTAATTTATTGAGCAGATGCCAAGGAATAAAAGGTAGAACTCACTTTCTTAAAGCAGCATATGCCTGAGCCTTCTCAAGAGGATATCCAGAGGAATGAAAAGCAATCAAGCAATCACAAATGGGCCAACTGAAACAGTAAACCTTTTAGTGATGTTTTTATTCCAGTATATACTTTGTACTTGATAAAATATTCAACTACACTTTATCCTACTTCACTACTAAAAGGATCATTCATAACATGAATTAGAGATGCTACAATATTGGAAAAGAATAAAAGTAAAACTATATTTCATACCCCCATACCTTTCTATTGGATCTTCAAGTATAACTTTATCCCCAAAATGTAAGATCTGCGAATAAAGTCACAAAAAAGGGTTTCCATGAGAATACACCAGAGAATCTACAAAGACAAGCGCCAACAACTTTTCTTTCCCAAACTAAAAGATCCCTAAAAGCATCTTCCAATAAGATTTCCCCAAGAATCACGAATTACAAGTCATAAGAGTACAAACCAGAAATGATCTAACGAATAATTTACCTCAAATTCACCAAACGACTCCAATCTGTCCAGAATTTGTCCCATGGGAGCTGAGAAAACCTAAAAACCCACAACGAACAATCGATAAGCGATAACACATAGTGAACAAAAAAAATCAACCGGTGAGTGATCGAAGAGACTAGCATCCGAATGTGTTGATCAGTAGAAAACGCGAAATACGAACAGCGAAAAAAAAAAGGAAACAGAACCTCGGAGCCGCATTTCACCTTCTTTTCCATGACGCAGACTCCAATCCTTATCTTCCCACCAACACTTGCTCCTTCTTCCATCTCTCTCTCACTACCTTTCTCTATAATAGTACCTTTTCCCCTTTTCACTGTATCTGCTCCTCGCTTTACACAACGACGTAATCCTCCCTCTAAAATAAAATCACAGATTCA